ATGAACAATTGCAGTTATCTTTATTCTACCAAAAAAGCAGAATAAAGCTAGTGCAGTCAGCAGGTAAACACATCTCTGAAATCTACTCCCCTGTTTCTTTGCTATAGTATCTATGAGCCTTACTCCCACTGCACATCCTCCCAGGCCCATGTAAGAGGATGCAACTGGAGTGATGCATTCACAGCATGAATTCATACACAGATGCTCCAACTGTATTGGTGGTAGCAACCATATGCTGCCTAGTCTATGTGGGATGTTCAAGCCCACTCTGTTTTGCACAGTGGGAGTAAATGGGTTCAGGGAAAGCATGACTAACTGAGATGGTGGACCTTTTTAGGTAAGAATAAAAATGAGCTGTAGATAAAAATAAATCACTGTGTCTGAGAGAGAAGAAGTCCGAGGACGGAGAATGCACACCAATCCTAGTCAGATTATGTGACAAGGGATAATTTGAAATAAACAAAAACAAAAAAATAAGAAAGAAGTAGGGGTACCCAGGGTACACTAAAGAAAACACTTAAATTGCTTCAAAGTTATTATTATTATTATTTTAATTTATCTGTATTGTTGAAAGTATTACAGATGTCCTCCCCTTTTCCCCTCCATTGACCCCTCTACCCCAATCCCCAACTTGGGCCTTCAGTGCACTACTTTCTTCAAAATTAAATCTTGCATCTTTGGAAAGTATTATAAAATGTTGTCCACTGATTTACATAAAGATTAGAGTATGGTACTGAGGACCATCTGGATCAGTGATTTGGCAGTGAGCAGTTTTCTGATCACTGGCCCACATACAGAAATTTACAAAAGTCAAAAATTAAAGAAGTATGCAGGAAAGAAGACTGTAACAATGGTATTGTTTAAGCAGTGCTATGGATAGATAGATCACTACTGATATCCAATGACTTTCTTGAAGGCAGCTGAATATTAATAAGGGGTATCCTTACCAGAACCCAGCAAAGCCATAATTATGCAACACTTTGTTCATTACTTATTGTATCAGAGGTATCTCTAAGAAAATGAATTTCTAAATGTAGATTTAGCATATTAATTCTGAAATTTACTTGGGATGTACTTTTAAAAGGAGTGACCAGATTTATAATGTAGATAGAAAATTAATTACATTCTCTGAAGTTATGACTAGTCACCACACTTGTGCATTATTCCTGGCTGAGCATAAGTTAAGGATATTTATAAAGCAAAACATACCCTTGCATCTGAAAGAAAGTTGCTGGTTTCACTTTTTTTTTCCAAAGAGGGCTTTTAAAAGTTTCCCTCATGATTTATTTGACTGAAAGGAAGCAAATAGAGTTTTACAAAAGTTTATCCATAATTCTTGGAAGTCGATAATATGCAAGTATGAATATGCAAAACAGTGAATTTGCTTTAGTTTCGATTAAGGTAAAGATGGCATCTTGCATGAAATTGAATATATTACCATATGGCTAAAATGCCACTGGCAGTGGATGTACCAAGAATGTTAAAAAAGTCCAGCCAGGATGGCTCAGTAGTTGAGCATTGACCCATGCACCAAGAGGTCGCCGCTGGACACATGCCCAGGTTGTGGGCCTGATCCCCAGTGGGGGCATGCAGGAGGCAGCCAATCGATGTTCTCTCTCATCGATGTTTCTCTCTCTCTCTCCCTCTCACTTCCTCTCTTTCTAAAATCAATAAAGGATAAAAAATTTTTTTCTAAAAGAATGCAAAAATAAAAATTATAAAACAACAACAAAAACAAGCCACTGTCTGGTTTTGTATAGTCAGAAAGCTAAGTAGAGTTTTTACATTTTTAAATGGTTGAAAACAGATCAAAAGAACATTATTAGTTTGTGAGAGGTGAAAATTATATGAAATTCACACTTGTGACCACAGGTAATGTTTTATTTGAAAGCAGTCACACTAATTCACTCATGTATTGTCTATTGCTGCTTTCCCACTACAGTACAGACTTGATTGGCTGTGACAGAAACCATAGGGCCTGTCCTGTCCGGAGAAAGCTGACGGACTTGCATTATAAGGCAAAACAGGACAGCACATTCTCCTTCCTTAGCAGGCGTGGTGATCCAAGAGCTGACTGGTGGAAACTGAGGCTGGGAGGGTTGTAATGGAAGCAGCTCAGTGGCTGAACTGATAGGAAAACTACAGGCTTAAGTCTGAGGGATTCTTGCACCACTGTTCAGCGTCTTCTCTTGCTATCTATGTTTATGTCAGAGCAGCCAGAAAATTCTGTGACTCACTCTGCGCCCTCTAGAGCCTATTTTTATATCTAACTTCATAAAAATTTAAGAGGTGAATCTATGTATTTTCTAACAGAATATTTGTATTTATTTAAGGATAGGACAATAAGAGTGTCAAGCCCTCTGACGAGCAGGGGTCACCCATCGCAGTGCTATTACAGCAGCAGTCCATTAGTGCCGGGGTAAACATGCAGGGCGAGACTGCTTCCTCTCCCCGGTGCCTGCGGGCACTTACCCCCGACCTGCGCAACAGTGGCTTTGAAGAAAGGGTGGAAGTTCATGGAAAAAGATGATTTGTGTGCCACTGCTGCCCAATTAGTGGGGCATGGTGTTGAACTTAAGGAACAATTATTAGAAATAGATGGACTTTCCTACCCCTAAATCCCTTCTTAAAGAGGAATGATGGAGCAACTGATCACAAATTTACGAGAAAGTGAAGATAGATGATAGATGATAGATAGATGATAGATAGATTAGATAGATAGATAGATAGATAGATAGATGTGTGTGTGTGTATATATATTCTTATTTGATTATTTTTCATCTCCAAAATGAGTTATTTCCCAGGTTTCTATGTTGTTCATTCAGAAGGATCTGAAATGAAGAAGGGGAAGTTCCTTGATGGCACAGCATGCATTCTTGAGGAGTGCCGGCCTGATAATGGGGCTTATTAGTGCGTATATCCAGTGGCAGTCATTGTGGGCCAATACAAATCCTCTTGTAATCTGTTCAGTGCAAGCACTCACACAGCTCATTTTCTGAAAATCTAAGAAGCTCTTAGAAAACGGGAATACTGTCTGGCCTATCAAGCATTCACTAACTGCTCAGTCACTTCAGTTCTTTTGATTCAGCAGAACAAAAATACTTTGCTTTTCTTTTAGTCTACCTTTTGCTTAGTTACAAGTATTTAGGTTTTGTCAGAAGTTGGAGTCTGTCTTTGGTATTTTTTGATATGCAGTAGAGGATAAATGACTCTGCTCTCTTCTAGCTAGCATTTTACTTGATTTTTGTCATCTTGACAGAAAAAGGCTTACTCTGAAGCTAATAGAAAATGAACACTGTCTTATTAAATATGTAGTTACAGTTTAAAAGAAAAGCTCACAATTCTTTTGAATGGGCACATTCAAATCTGGAAAAAATATTTAAAGTCCATAATTGGAAATAAAAGTGCGTATGCTAGAAATATATAATATTAAGGTAATTCGACTATTTTCCTGAAGTGGATGCAAAAATTTACATTCTCTTAGAGTGTATTAAAGGTTTATTTAGTTTACCTTTTTCCATTATTTGATATCAGGTTCCTTGATAGTTGACAATCTAGAGGAACTAAAATGATATACACTGTGGTTTAAATTTGCATTTTCCATGCAATAATTATGTAGAGAATCTTTTCCCATATTTATTTAATGAGCATGTTTTCTCCTATGTAGTATATATCCCTGTGTCCCCCCGCCCTATTTTTATGGTGCATTGTATCCTTGCATATGAACAACTGTGTCCTTTCCTACTGTTAACTGACAGAGTGTGTCCTCTCAGGATCTAGTTGTATTTCAGCAAGAAGATCCCTCCAAGCACCACACCAGAAGCCAGCAGAAATAGTTTTGACTATGTATAAGGAATAATAAAACAGACTGTACATCAGAATTAAAGACATTTTTTTTCTACTTTAACACCCAAACTTCACACAAAATAAAAGTCAAATTTCACCCGGCTGATGTGGCTCAGTGGTTGAGCATCAACCCATGCACCAAGAGGTTACCAGTTCAATTCCCAATCAGGGCATATGCCCAGGTTGTGGGCCAAATCACCAGTGGGGGCATGCAAGAGGTGGTCATCGATGTTCTCTCTCATCGATGTTTTTGTCTCTCTCTCCCTCTCCCTCTAAAAATCAATAAAGAAAAATATTTTTTAAAAAGTCAAATTACATGGGAGGACAAGAAAATTAGAACTGAAGGATTAGTTGGGGCTTCCAGAGCTTTTACTTAAGAGAGGGTTTATTATTACAGATAGCAAAAGACACCACGACCAGAAAATCGAGCTGAGTAAAAGCTAAAGGAGAATCCCAGATCTCAAAAATTTGAAAGGGCTTCCAAATGTTATGAAATGGGAGACTCAAAGCAAGTACAAAAGTCAGAATATGCAGTCGGCTGACAAGGACCAGTTCCAGGACACACGTATAAATATGAACCGCGCTCAGAGTAAATGAGAAGGTGCAGGGGACTTTCCTAGAAACCAGTGCTCTAATCAGAGATCTGCTCTCATGTACTACCTGATCAGGATGAATATATTGGACAGCTGAAGTGAAAGGGCCCAAGAAATGACGGGTATCATATGTGGTCTGCCTAAGTTTCCATGGCTTACTCAGAGCCAAGACTGCAGTCAAATCAACTCATTTTAAGTCCATCACTCTTTGTTTGGTCCACAAGGAAGACAAAGTGGAGATTTGGAGAACTGTGCGCCTGTTCCCAGAGGTTTCACTTAATGCCTATGTAGAGGGGCAGGCTGGGGAGGTAAAGGAAGTTTAGAGAACTGTTGTCCAATACACAGATGGCAATGACACTCAGGAGAAGAATTTGGGGAATTGAGGACCCGGGGTCTCTGTCTGCGATACCCATACTTGCCCTAGGAAGTGGCAAACAAACTTGAGGTACTCCTTTCCTATTTAGTGTGAAACAGAAAGTAAAAAGGTGAATAAGTTAGCAGGCATGATAAATCTAAATCTGACAATGTCACATGGTAGTAACTGCTCTCAACCTTCCATCCTGGACATTGTTATAATTATTATATAGAAGGCTTCATGAGTCTGCAGGGGCCATGCTAATCTTTGTATCATTCCAATTTTAGTGTATGTGCTGTTGAAGTAAGCACTGGATGTAATTAATGTTGTTTTAATCTTAAACTTCGTTATTACACAGACAAAAATCACAATCCGTTTTAGTCTTAGTTGTATTACTGAGGAAACAACAAGTGTGTTTGGTGTGCTTTGATTTCTATGCTGACCAGTCAAGCCTATTTGTGTTAAGCCACTAAATTAGAAAATAAGATGGAGTTGACTTTTGTTTTTAATGTATAATACTAAGATGGTCACCAATAATTTTTTTAAAAGTTGTACTTAATATGTTAGTTTATTTTATCATTGCATTCACAAGAGCACATGGGAGGTGAGATAAGATATAATATTACATTTTTAAATTTTTTTATTGATTCATGTACTCCTTTTTTAAATCATTTTTATTAATTTGTTTTTGTTACAGATGTTTCTCCTTTCTCCCCCATTGACACCCTCCTCCCCATCCTCCCCACCCCATTCTCAGCTTTGTTGTCTATGTCCATTGGTCATGAATACATGCATATAAGTTCTGTAGTTTATCTCTCCCCCCCAACACCCGCTCTTCTAAGGTTTGTCAGTCTGTGCCCGACCTCCATGTCTCTGGGTCAATTTTGTTCATCAGTTTGTTTAGTTCATTATATTCCACAAATAAGTGACATCATGTGATATTTGTCTTTCTCTGCTTGATCTGTCTCGCTTAGCATAATACTGTCCAGGTACCTCCATGTCATCTCAAAGGATAAGAGATCTTTCTTTCTTACAGCTGCATAGTATTCCATTGTGTATATACACTACAGCTTTTTTATCTACTCATCTACTGATGGATACTTGGGTTGTTTCCATATCTTAGCTATTGTAAATAGTGCTATTGTAAATAGGGGTACATATATTCTTTCTGATTGGTGTTTCAGGCTCCTAGGGTATATTCTTAGAAGTGGAATCACTTGGTCAAATGGCAGTTCAATTTTTAACTTTTTGAGGTAACACCATAGTATTTTCCATAGTCGCTGTACCAGTCTGCATTCCCACCAGCAGTGTACTAGAGTCCCCTTTTCTCCACACCCTCGCCAACACTTGTTTGATGATTTGTTGATGGCGGCCATTCTGACAGGTATGAAGTGATACCTCATAGTTGTTTTAATTTGCATCTCTCTGATGATTAGTAACATTGAGCATTTTTCATATGTCTCTTGGCCATTTGTATGTCCTGTTTGGTGAGGTGTGTGTTTAGGTCTTCTGCCCATTCTTAATTGGATTATGAGTCTTCCTTTTCTTCAGTTATATGAGTACTCTATGTATTTTGGAAATTAACCCCTTATCTGATGCATCATTGGCAATTATGCTCTCCCATATAGTGGGATCCCTTTCTGTTTTCATGGTTGTTTCTTTTGCTGTACAGGAGCTTTTTAGTTTGATATAGTTCCATGTGTTCATTTTTTCCTTTATTCCTGTTGCCTTAGGTGAAGTATCAGTGAAAATTCTTTTGCATATGATATCTGGAATTTTGTTGCCTACATTTTCTTCTAGAATTTTTATGGATTCATGAGTTACATTTAAGTCTTTTATCCATTTTGAGTTTATTCTTGTGTATGGTGTAAATTGGTTTAATTGATTTTTTTGTTAGAGATTTTTCTCTTTCCCCCCCCTTGAAACACTCCTCCCGTTCCTCCCCACCCCCAGTACTGTTGTCTGTGTCAATTGTTTATACTTATATGCATAAGTTTTTGGTTTATCTCTTCCCTCCCCCCCACCCCCTCCTCTGAAGTTTGTCAGTCTGTACACGAGGGCTATGTTTCTGGGTCTATTTTGTTCATCACCTTATTTTGTAATTATATTCCACAAATAAGTGACATCATGTGATACTTGTCCTTTTCTGATTAACTTATTACACTTAACATAATACTCTCCAGGTCCCTCCATGTCTTCTCAAAGGATAAGAGACTTTCTTTCTTACAGCTGCATGGTAGTCTATTGTGTATATGTACCACAACTTTTTTTTTTCATTTATTTTTAGATAGAATGGGAGAGAGAAAGGAGTGAAGAGAGAGAGAGAAACATCAATGTGAGAGAGACACACTAGCTCACAGCCACCCACACTATCCCAAATGGTGTTGGGACAAACCACAACGGAGGTACATGCCCTTAGCAGGAACCGAATCCAAGACTCTCTAGTCTGCAGGCTGACGTTCCAACTGCTGAGCCAAAATGGTCAGGGCTGTATCACAGCTTTTTTACACACTCATCTACTGATGGACACTTGGGCTGTTTCCAAATCTTAACAATTGTAAATAATACTGCTATGAACATAGGGTACATATGTTCTTTCTGATTGGTGTTTCAGGCTTCTTAGGATATATTCCTAGAAGTGGGGTCACTGGGTCAAATGGCAGTGACATGATATTGTGCATAGAAAACCCTAAAGACTCTGTCAAAAACTACTAGATTTAGTCCGGCCAGTGTGGCTCAGTGGTTCAGCATGGACCCATGTATCAAGAGGCCCCTGATCGATTCCTGATCAGGGCACATGCCCAAGTTGTGGGCCTGATCCCCAGTGGGGGTCATGCAAGAGGCGGCTAATAGATGTTCTCTCTCATTAATGTTTTTATCTCTCTTTTCCTCTCCCTTCCTCTCTTTCTAAAAATCAATAAAGAAAAAGAAAAAAAAACCACAAGACTTAATAAATAATTTGGCAAAGTAGTAGGATATAAAATTGACATCCAGAAATTATTGGTACTTTATACACCAGTAAAGAACACACAGATAGAGAAACTATAAAAACAATCCCATTTACCATTGCAACAAAAGAAATTAAGATACCTAGGAATAAACTTAACTAAAGAAGTAAAGGACCTGTTTGCAGAAAACCACAGGACATTGGAAAAAGAAATAGAAGAAGGTATAAAAAAGTGGAAGCATATGCCTTGTTCATGGATTGGAAGAATTAACATCATTAAAATGTTCATACTACCCAAGCAATCTACAGAGTCAATGCAATCCCCATTAAAATACCAATGACATATTTCACAAAACTAGAACAAATACTCCAAAAATTTATATGGAAACAAAAAAGACCCTGAATAGCACAGCAATTTGAAAAGAAGAACAAAGCAGGAGGAATCACAATACCAGATATCAGATTATACTACAAAGCCATTGTAATCAAAACAACCTGGTACTGCCACAAGAATAGTCATATTGATCAGTGGAACAGAACAGAGAACCTGGAAATTTACCCAAGACATTATGCTCAATTAATATTTGCAAAGGTGGCAAGAACATACAGTGGAGTAAAGATAGCCTCTTCAATAAATGGTGTTGGGAAAATTGGACAGCTACATGCTTAAAAATGAAACTTGACCACCAACTTATACCATATACAAGAATAAACTCAAAATGGATAGAAGATTTAAATGTGACCTATGAATCCATAAAAAATCCTAGAAGAAAATGTAGGCAACAAAATTTCAGACATTACACGCAGCAGAATTTTCATTGATACAATGACTAAGGCAAGGGAAAACAAGGGAAAAATGGAACTACATCAAACTAAAAAGTTTCTGTACAACAAAAGAAACAAGCATCAAAATAAAAAGGGAACCCAAATGGAAGACCATAATTGCCAATGATACATCAGATAAGGGGTTAATTTCCCAAATATATAGAGTACTCACACAACTCAACAAAAGGAAGACAAAGAACCCAATTTAAAAAATGGGCGGAGGACCTAAATAGACACCTCTCCAAACAGGACATACAAATGGCCAAGAGATATATGAAGAAATGCTCAACATCACTAATCATCAGAGAGATGCAAATTAAAATAACAATGAGGCATCACCTCACACCTCTCAGAATTGCTGCCATCAACAAATCATTAAACAGCAAGTGCTGGGGAGGGTGTGGAGAAAAGGGGACTCTAGTACACTGCTGGTGGGAATGCAGACTGGTACAACCACTATGGAAAACAATATGGTGTTTCCTCAAAAAAATTACTTTTAAAATTAATTTCAATAAAAAAAGAGAGTAAAATGAATGAGAATTTTACAGAAAAAACTGGTTATTATCGGCTCCCTCACCTTATATTTGCATTCAAATTTCTAATGCAATAAAAAAGTGTTGTTTAACAGATCTCTTTCTCTCAGTTTTCCTTCATAACCTTACATCAGGTAATCATACGAAATATAAGCTGTATATACATAGTTGTTTTTTTTTTTTTTTTACTGGATCACAATTGATAGCAGAACGTGTTTTGAAACTATAAAATGCATCTACAACCTAGTTTTCTGTTGAGCCAAAATGCCATTTTAACCTTGCCAAGAGGGTCTGAATTGCTTCCTTGGATGCCTGTTTGTAACTCTGCATACTCACTTTCATACTACTGTGAATAAAGACACCAAATCCAGATCAGCCTTCTACTAAACCTGTCAATGTGAGCAAAAATGCTTATATCTTCATTCTTGCCGTTTAGCTTCCCATGGCAATATCTACTAAGGTTGCTTTCCTTTCTAGGACCTTTGCTTCTATTTCAGTTTTGTATGTTCAAAATTACAGTTCCTATTTTGGGTTGGTTGTTTTTGTGCCCCTCTTTGAAAAGAAAAGAATAAAAGCAACTAAAATAGTGACATGTATCAACAAGAACTATTATCTTCCTGAGAGCAAACACAATTGCATTTGCCACAACAAGACTTGAACATATACTTGTTTATTAAATATCTATGAATATTTTAAGCTTTCCATTAGAATAAATCTTAACTAAGTAATTACAAATGTTTATACAATACACTTAAACATTTTCAATCACTTTTTACTAAGTAGTCAATCACCATAATCGAATCACACCAAACTATCAAGAACATACAAAAATAATTTAGTTATATCACTGCTAATTTGTGTATCAGGGATTATGTTATATAAGAAAATAAAATATAAAGCAAAAAACTGTCATCAGAGTGGCTACAAAATGAAAATACAAATCCTGAAAGTAAAGTTAACAGGTTACATTCTGTGTAAGGCTAATAACATTAATTATAAAGTAATT